GCAGGCAGTTGCATGAATTAATGTTGCACTAGCTGCCACGGCCCCGCCATGTCGACTTCGGTTACTGTGTGTGAGTCGATGGGCCCAGAAGAACACATAACAAAACCATTGTACAGTAGCTTGCAGAACATCACCCACCATGTGTACGTACGTTCCTTGCAGAATTGGCGAACATGCAGGTGGCGGCGAGTAGGTGTAAATTATATGGGTGATAAAAAAAATGGTTACATACCTCCCGTATTTATTTGACCTTTGTCTTTTTTGCAAAGGGTCAGCCCTCTCGAACACTGTTTGGCTGAAATTGTTCTGCTCGACCTGTCTTGAGAGGTGGCTCGATGTGTTGCTTTCTACCACCGCACACTCAACGCAACCGCCTCCACAGTCCAGAACACTGTTTGGCGGTAGGGGTCTGCTGCTGTGGCGCTCAGCTAAGGTGTGCCCAGTGCCCGCTGTATGCCATGTCGTCCGTGTCGTGTTGTGTCGACTTTGACGAGACTGCTGCTTGTTCTCTCTCGCACACCCGCCTCCCGTTTCCCACCGCATGAATCCCAGTTTCTCGCCCAACGAAGTCTGTAAGAGACACCCTAAAATAATTCCTCTTAGCGGTTTCTGAAGTTGATGTCATGTGCCGATGTCATAAACCCAGTCGAATGGCCCAAACTTTTTGTTTAACCATGCCATGCCCGCTTCAATAAAATATGGGGAGCAAAACCATCGGTGGCCTGGTGAAATCAAGGGGAAGGCTACCTGTGCTAAGTGCTTTCGAAGCAAGACATCTTCGTATTCTGTCCATCCTACAAAAATGTACAGATCATGACTCAAACATGCTGAACTATGCTGTTCCCCCTAGACCGGAAAATATGTCTAAATCGTCTGGACCAACCACAAGGCCACAGTTGCCAAAGTGGCTGCTTCCACGCCACTGTACTCCTCGTCCCCTCCCTCCCGAGGGAATGGAGGACAGCCCTGGTTTCGGGTTTCTGATTCCTTTCGGCAGTGGTTTTGACACCGCCTTGCTTTGCGCTCGAGTCCGATACCTTCGGTCAGTTATTTACGCTATTGCCCCTTCTGTAGTCCAGAGACTAATATTGTGTTTATTTATAAGGATATCATAAATTGAATTGTCGCGTCAATTACGAGAAGCTCGGGAAAAAACTATCTACCCCTCATGGAGGGCATGCCATTTGGGAGGCATCAACCCTAAACACCATGAGGCAAGGTGTTTAGGGTTGATGCCTCCCAAATGGTCAGCCATCCAAGAAGGGTATTTTTTCCACTAGCCACTAAACTAAAACCAGGTAAACTTCAGAATTTTCCTGGTCACAGGAAATTGGAAATGTCGAAATCAGCTGCCCCAAGGAATCGGACGCGAGCGGAGAAGCAAGGCGGTGTCAAAGCCACTGCTCAAAGGAATCAGAAACTTGAAAACAGGGCGATCCGTCATTTCCTCCCTTTCTCCCTCTCTCTCGCATTTCTGTACTCGCACCCTTTTCTTCACATGTGCGACGCGCCTAGACCGTGCAATGCGAGAATGCCAGCCAAGCCTCACGATGGCTTTGGGGTGCGGGCGCACAAGCGAGAGATCATTTGCGCCGGTTGCTGGAATCCGGACCAGTTTGCCCGCCCGCCACGACCTGTCGTCGTCCAGTCGGCTCGTCAACCAATCCGACCTGGTCTATGCTCGCGCTGGCACCCTCTTGTTGCGCCTCTTGCTCCGCTCCGCAGCAGCGCAGCGCAGCACACCACCAGAATCCGCGCAGCACATCACAGCACATATGCAAGCCTATCCAGCCTCTTCCCTCCCATCGCACCCTCACGCGGTGGTGCTGGCTGGCACACCCCTCTGTTGGTTGAGAAAGCCGAGAGTGGATTGAATGCAGCAAAATTCACCAGGCATCCCAACTCACACAATACTGCTGACTCCAAGTCGAAACTTGTGTATTCCTGACCTCCATTCCCATTTGGAACCAAGTCACTACGGACTTCCGAAGTTGGAACTCCCCGTTAGAACTATAACCCGTGGAACAACAAACACCAAAACGTCGATCACAAGATTCGCGAGAGTTTTGCGATTATCCGTACTACCATTTTCATATGGAAACCGCGACGATCCATTCCGACTCGCGCAATGCTGCTACTAGTTGTACGGGTTACTCGTGGAAGAAGTACGGCCACAAGGTTCTCGCGTCCGTCAACGTCAAACGGTGAGGATCCCACAACCGTCGGGGTGTGACGATTTTTTCGGTCATCGGGACACGATTTTTCCTGAACAATTTTCCGCGGAAAACAAGAATTCCATCGTACAATCATGTGTCTCATCCAGCAGTACGCTAGTAGTAATAAGTGCTCAGCCAGTGGCACTAACGTCTCATTGCCGCTCTTGGCTGTGTTTGGTCGCAGGTTCTACTACGCGTGCGCGCAGAAGGACTCGCACGGATGCCCCGCGAAGAAAATCGTCGACAAGCCGCGCAAACAACCCCGCGCCGGCAACGTGAACGGCCGCGCCGCATCCAGTGGCGGCGGCAGCGACGGCGGTGGCGGCGACGGCGGCGGCGCACTGTCCCCGGAAGCCAGCACAGGCAGCGACAACAAGCCCGTTTCTCCCATTTCGGGGAGCCTGTTTAACTTCCCCGCATCCATCCCCCAGAGCGACAGACTCTCAGGATCGTCGTCCGATCAACCCTGGGCGCGCAGTTCGTTCCCCGCCCCCGCCAGCGATCAAGGGTCCGCGGGCGACGCCATGGCGGCGGCGGGGACGGACTCCGCGGCCGCCGCCGGCGGAGAGTTGTCGACAGAGGCTGCAATGAAGGAGAAAACTTGGTTCGAGAATGCGCACAACCATCCCCCGCCGATGCTCTCCTCGCGGCTCTCCCGCAACCGCTTCCTTGCTGCTGCTTCCGCTACCGCCGCCGCCGCCGCCGCCGCTGCCGCGGTGCCGCCGCCGTCGCCGCCGCAAGGCGGCGTGATGGTGGCGTCTGCAGCTTCCGCCGGGGGCGGCGGCGTGTTGCGGCAGCAGGAGCAAAAACAGCAGATTATGCTGCACCAACAGCAATTTTTAGAGCAGCAGACGCCACAGCTAAGAGCGGGGCGGAACGGTGGGCAGGCGGAGCATTTAGCATCGTTTCCCGTTCCAGGGAACAACACCCGGGCGCTTCCTGTGCGCTCCCCTCCTCCACAGCAACAGGCTCAGCAGCATGTGATGATGGGTCGGCCCATGCCGCTGGATCAGTCAACTCTAAACTGCTCAGGCCGTCGAGATGCATCAGGAGCAGTGACCATGACACTAGGTGTCACACCTTGTAGCAGTAATGCATATCCCAGGACAGACGAAGGGAGCGGCGAGAATCGAATGCCGCTGCTCCAGATGCTGTCCAATCAGGAGCCGCCACCTCAGCTGCTCTTGTGCACGGAGTCTCCGTTGACTCCCTGGGATTCTGGCCAGCCTGGCAATCATGGTTCCTCGCCACATAGCCTTTTCCAATACGGCCTGAGCAGGCAACCGCAGCAGCAACAGCAACGGCAGCAGCATCATCAACAGCAGCAGCAGCAACAACAACAACAACAGAACTACAGCCAGCAATGGCAGCAGCAGGGACAGCAGAGGATCCAGTATGCATGCCAGTTCAACCAGCCAGTGTCAGCAACTCTCCCCCCCCTTCCACCCTCCCCGCACACATCCACACCCCCTACACCCCTTCCAACCTCAGCACCATCAGCAATGCGACCTGCAATGTACGCTGACCCTTCCACTCACGCTATTCCCGCTAATCTGGCACCCACCGCCGAGCGCAGCACTGTCGGCGGCGGCAACAGTGAGAGCAACGGCACAACGGGACTTTGCCTACCAAACAATGTGTGCGACGGAAGCACCTGGGAGCAACCGTCCTGCCCAGGGAAGCGGCTCAAGAGGGATCCTGGTAGCAGTGCTTCGCTAGTCACCGCTCTGGGCTCTGGTCCCTCCGTGCCCTCTAACGTCCTCGCTCATTCCAACAGCAACGCTCCTGCTCCTGCTCTGGCTCCCGCTCTTGCTCTTGCCACCGCTATTGCTGTTGCTGCTGCTCCTGCTTCCGCTGCAAGAGACAAGACGAGCACGCCAGGCGAAGAACAGCCCATGGAGAGGAATTTCATCGACGCACTCTCGCTCTCGCCCTCCTCCCTCTCCTTGGCTTGCTCTCTCGCCCCACCTCAATGGCCCAACGGAGAGAGCCACACAGGAGACGGCCTAAAGGAAGGGGGTTTTGTGCGGAAGGGCCTTATGGGAAAGAACCTCAAGGGCGAGGGCCTTCTGGGGGAGGTTGTCTTAGGGGAAGGCTGTTCTCCAGCTGCCCGAAGGCCCTCGCTGGACCTGCCCGGATTTTGCGAGCCTACTTTTCCAGAGCTCTCACTTAGCCTTGGCAGGCTGTAGCTTCTACCTTTTTCCTGATCAAATACCGTGAAGCCTACCTAGTGTAATGTGAAATGTGTCCCTACTAATGTAAAAAATAGTATTTCAGAGTGCAAAAGCTGCCCCTGTGAAAGTGGGTGCAAAGCAAGAGTGAGTCTGCCTGTCTGTAAACGAACAAGTGGGATGAGATGAGAAGGCCTAGCAGATGAGACTGCTGCTTGAAACCGCCAGCCAGCAAGCATGCTTGCTGTGCTGTGCTGGCTGTGTTTCCTTCCTACGGTGAGCTGAGCGCTTCCATCAATCAATAGAGTCTGTCACACTTACGGTATAAGAAACCCTGGTATCCCCTCCCCATTCAATGAAAAAATAGGCAAACAGAAGCACAAGTTTATGGCTCCAACAGCATACCCTACCTTGCCTGCAAGCCATCCCACCCCACTGCACATACCGGATGTCTAACCTCCCTTGTGTCTCATCACATTCGCTCGCACAAACACCTTCCTTGACATATCCGTCAAAATCTTCTGCACCCCCTTGGGGTCCTTAGCAACCAAATTCCCCTCCACAGGCTTCCCCCCCGACCACCCCCCCGCCGCACTCCCCATGAGGTGACTGCCTAGCCTCCTTTCCGTCTCATGGCATTCGCTCGCACAAACACCTTCCTGGAAATATCCGTCAAAATCTTCTGCACCCCCTTGGGATCTTTAGCGACCAAATTCCCCTCCACAGACTTCCCAGCCCACCCACCCGCCGCACTCCCCACCGCCTTCCCCCCCTCACAAAACGCCAAATAATACTCAATCTCGCAGATATCCGCCAGCTGGTGGAAAATCACATCTGGATTCTCCACCGGGCGAATCTCCAGCACGGCGGATCCGGGCGGCATGAAGACAATATCGGCAAGGATATTATCGTGCACTGATACCATGAGCAACGCGCGGTTGAGCAGGTCTTTTCGGCGCGGAAGCGAGATGGAGCCTTCCCGGTAGATGACGACCCGCTCGGGGGGGAAGAGGCGTGTGAGGTGCTCGTGCAGCTTGAGGCTCTGCAGGAGCGACGCGCGCTGCTCCTTCCACCCCAGCAGCACCACCCAGTTGCTGCCCGGGGCATAGGCATGGGGTGTGTACGCTGGGGTGGTTGATCCTTTGAACCTGGACGTCCAGTCTGGTGGGAGAGTGGGAGAGGGGTGGGTGTGGGGATGCAGGGTGGTGGGGCAAGGAATAAATGACTCCACTGAAAATGTATTTAGAGCACACGAGAGAGATGGCGCCTTCTCAGTAGACAACGACCCCCCCACCCCAACCCCCGACTCCTCCCCCTTTCTCTTTGCGCACTTTTTTCCAGCGGAAGCCCCCCCACCTTCACCCGCCCTGCTCATACCAGCATTAAAGATGGGCAGCCCCCCGGGCGGCAGCAGGTGCCTCATTCGCAGATAGTGCCAAAGGGAGCGGCTGGGCTCCCCACACCGCTGATGCAGTGGCTGGTTTAGGGAGGAGAGGGGAGGGAGGGGAGGGGGAGGGGAGAGGAACGGAGGGGCGGGGATGGGAGGGGAGGGGAGGGAGGGGAGGGGAGGGGATTGGAGGAAACGGGAGGCAAGGGGAGAGGAGACAGGGGGGAAGGGGTGAGATGAGGCGGAAGGGAAGGGAGCGAATGCAGGGGAGTAGCGTGGGGAGGGAAAGTGGGAAATGAGGAAGAGGGAGGCAGGGTATCAGGAACAGTCACTTCCACTCACAATGACGATCTTCTCAGCAAAAAACAAATTGTAGGCCTTGGCGACATGCACGTTCATCCTGTCCATTTGCACTCCCAGCACATCCACCACTCCCAGGCACCAATTTTTGTAGGACCTCAGCCTCACCCTCTCCCTTCTCCCCAACCTACCCCTTGGCACCCCACTCACAATGATGAGTTTCTCCGCAAAGAACAAATCGTGGGCTTCAACAGTGTGCACATTCATCCTGTCCACCTGCAACCCCAGCACGTCCACCCGTTTTTCCCCCACTCCACCCCCTTGCAAAACCCACTCACAATCACGAGCTTATTTGCAAAGAGCAGGTCATGGGCCTTGTTTTGAGACGTCTCAAAGCAGGTCATGGGCCTTGTTTTGAGACGTCTCAAACCAGGTCGTGGGCCTTGTTTTGAGACGTCTCAAAACAGGTCATGGGCCTTGTTTTGAGACGTCTCAAAACAGGTCATGGGCCTTGTCCACATGCACGTTCATCCTGTCCACCTGCACTCCCAGCGACCACCTTTTGAGGCACCTCAAACCCCCTCCCACCCCCTCCCGTCTTCCCTTCCCCTTTGCACCCCACTCACAATGACAAGCTTTTCAGCGAAGAACAGGTCTTTTGACTTCACCACATGCACATTCATTTTATCCACCTGCACTCCCAGCACATCCACCGCTCCCAGTGAGCACAGCTGCTCCAATCCATTCCGCACATGCGGCCGCCTGTGCCCCACCGCCACCGGCACGCCCCTCATCGCCGGCAGAATGCGTTGCAGAGAGATGAAGAGCGGTATGAGGTCGAGCAGCATGGCGCGCGTGGACCAGGCGAACCAGTCGACGAGGGAGACGAGCTCTTTGAAGCGCGTGACGCGCGTACGGTTGGCGGTGTAGCGGAAGGGGAGGGTGACGGTGATGTTGGGATTGCCTGCACACGCGTTGTGATCAAACAGGTGGGTGGCGTTGAACACCTGACCCACCACGTTTATGTACACATTGCGTAGCACGAGCACCTGTGGAGGTGGGGGTTTGTGCGTGGGGATGGTGGATTGTAGAAGTGAAATCGTCAAATTTTCGTTGAGTTGAACAACCACCACGTTTATGTACACGTTGCACAGGACCTGTGGGGAAGAGGAGTGGGAATAGTGGAAGGGGAGATGCATGGTGACACATGATTAGAGGAGAGAGAGGAGAGAGAGGAGAGAGAGGAAAGAGAGGAGAGAGAGGAGAGAGAGGGTGGTTAAAGCGAGTTCGGGGGAGGAGGGGCGGTTGACGCTTGGTTGCCTTAAAAGTAACAACGGACCTGCAGTGGGTGCACAGGGAGGGAACGGGACATGGATGGGTATTAGACGGTGAACAGGGAAGCACACGAACCTGACCCGCTGCTGATCCTCCTCGCCTGTCTACTCACGCACACCCCACTCGCCTTTTACCCATTCCCCAACGAAAATATTTTTTTCCCTCGTCACCACGCCCTCCGTACAAACTTCCTCTCCTATTGTCACACCCCCCCCCTTCCTCTTCCCACTTCCACCAAAAATATGCCTCCTCTCCCATTTAACACCCGAACCAAGACAAGCCTCCACTCGTCACCTTCCTTTGCCACACTCCACGCCTCTCCCCCTCCACTTCCCCCTCTCAACCTCACCACCTCCACCAACTGCATCTTGCCCCGCACCCACCTGAGCGGACCACTTGTTATGCGGCAGCAGATCATTCTTCTGAATGCACGTCGGGTCCACGCCCTTGCAGTACACAAAACACCTCATCTAACCCCACCCCCCTCCCCCGTTCCCCCACCCCCCTCACCTGAGCAGACCACTTGTTATGCGGCAGCAGATCATTCTTCTGAATGCACGTCGGGTCCACGCCCTTGCAGTACACAAAACACCTCATCTAAACCCACCCCCCTCCCCCGTTCCCCCACCCCCCTCACCTGAGCAGACCACTTGTTATGCGGCAGCAGATCATTCTTCTGAATGCACGTCGGGTCCACGCCCTTGCAGTACACAAAACACCTCATCTAACCCCACCCCCCTCCCCCGTTCCCCCACCCCCCTCACCTGAGCAGACCACTTGTTATGCGGCAGGAGATCATTCTTCTGAATGCACGTCGGGTCCACGCCCTTGCAGTTCACAAAACACCTCATCTAACCCCACCCCCCTCCCCCGTTCCCCCACCCCCCTCACCTGAGCAGACCACTTGTTATGCGGCAGCAGATCATTCTTCTGAATGCACATCGGGTCCACGCCCTTGCAGTACACAAAACACCTCATCTAACCCCACTCCCCTCCCCCGTTCCCCCACCCCCCTCACCTGAGCAGACCACTTGTTATGCGGCAGCAGATCATTCTTCTGAATGCACGTCGGGTCCACGCCCTTGCAGTTCACAAAACACCTCATCTAACCCCACTCCCCTCCCCCGTTCCCCCACCCCCCTCACCTGAGCAGACCACTTGTTATGCGGCAGCAGATCATTCTTCTGAATGCACGTCGGGTCCACGCCCTTGCAGTACACAAAACACCTCATCTAACCCCACTCCCCTCCCCCGTTCCCCCACCCCCCTCACCTGAGCAGACCACTTGTTATGCGGCAGCAGATCATTCTTCTGAATGCACGTCGGGTCCACGCCCTTGCAGTTCACAAAACACCTCATCTAACCCCACCCCCCTCCCCCGTTCCCCCACCCCCCTCACCTGAGCAGACCACTTGTTATGCGGCAGCAGATCATTCTTCTGAATGCACGTCGGGTCCACGCCCTTGCAGTACACAAAACACCTCATCTAACCCCACCCCCCTCCCCCGTTCCCCCACCCCCCTCACCTGAGCAGACCACTTGTTATGCGGCAGCAGATCATTCTTCTGAATGCACGTCGGGTCCACGCCCTTGCAGTACACAAAACACCTCATCTAACCCCACTCCCCTCCCCCGTTCCCCCACCCCCCTCACCTGAGCAGACCACTTGTTATGCGGCAGCAGATCATTCTTCTGAATGCACGTCGGGTCCACGCCCTTGCAGTTCACAAAACACCTCATCTAACCCCACCCCCCTCCCCCGTTCCCCCACCCCCCTCACCTGAGCAGACCACTTGTTATGCGGCAGCAGATCATTCTTCTGAATGCACGTCGGGTCCACGCCCTTGCAGTACACAAAACACCTCATCTAACCCCACTCCCCTCCCCCGTTCCCCCACCCCCCTCACCTGAGCAGACCACTTGTTATGCGGCAGCAGATCATTCTTCTGAATGCACGTCGGGTCCACGCCCTTGCAGTTCACAAAACACCTCATCTAACCCCACCCCCCTCCCCCGTTCCCCCACCCCCCTCACCTGAGCAGACCACTTGTTATGCGGCAGCAGATCATTCTTCTGAATGCACGTCGGGTCCACGCCCTTGCAGTTCACAAAACACCTCATCTAACCCCACTCCCCTCCCCCGTTCCCCCAACCCCCTCACCTGAGCAGACCACTTGTTATGCGGCAGCAGATCATTCTTCTGAATGCACGTCGGGTCCACGCCCTTGCAGTTCACAAAACACCTCATCTAACCCCACCCCCCTCCCCCGTTCCCCCACCCCCCTCACCTGAGCAGACCACTTGTTATGCGGCAGCAGATCATTCTTCTGAATGCACGTCGGGTCCACGCCCTTGCAGTACACAAAACACCTCATCTAACCCCACTCCCCTCCCCCGTTCCCCCACCCCCCTCACCTGAGCAGACCACTTGTTATGCGGCAGCAGATCATTCTTCTGAATGCACGTCGGGTCCACGCCCTTGCAGTTCACAAAACACCTCATCTAACCCCACCCCCCTCCCCCGTTCCCCCACCCCCCTCACCTGAGCAGACCACTTGTTATGCGGCAGCAGATCATTCTTCTGAATGCACGTCGGGTCCACGCCCTTGCAGTACACAAAACACCTCATCTAACCCCACTCCCCTCCCCCGTTCCCCCACCCCCCTCACCTGAGCAGACCACTTGTTATGCGGCAGCAGATCATTCTTCTGAATGCACGTCGGGTCCACGCCCTTGCAGTTCACAAAACACCTCATCTAACCCCACCCCCCTCCCCCGTTCCCCCACCCCCCTCACCTGAGCAGACCACTTGTTATGCGGCAGCAGATCATTCTTCTGAATGCACGTCGGGTCCACGCCCTTGCAGTTCACAAAACACCTCATCTAACCCCACCCCCCTCCCCCGTTCCCCCACCCCCCTCACCTGAGCAGACCACTTGTTATGCGGCAGCAGATCATTCTTCTGAATGCACGTCGGGTCCACGCCCTTGCAGTTCACAAAACACCTCATCTAACCCCACCCCCCTCCCCCGTTCCCCCACCCCCCTCACCTAAGCAGACCACTTGTTATGCGGCAGCAGATCATTCTTCTGAATGCACGTCGGGTCCACGCCCTTGCAGTACACAAAACACCTCATCTAACCCCACTCCCCTCCCCCGTTCCCCCACCCCCCTCACCTGAGCAGACCACTTGTTATGCGGCAGCAGATCATTCTTCTGAATGCACGTCGGGTCCACGCCCTTGCAGTTCACAAAACACCTCATCTAACCCCACCCCCCTCCCCCGTTCCCCCACCCCCCTCACCTGAGCAGACCACTTGTTATGCGGCAGCAGATCATTCTTCTGAATGCACGTCGGGTCCACGCCCTTGCAGTTCACAAAACACCTCATCTAACCCCACCCCCCTCCCCCGTTCCCCCACCCCCCTCACCTGAGCAGACCACTTGTTATGCGGCAGCAGATCATTCTTCTGAATGCACGTCGGGTCCACGCCCTTGCAGTACACAAAACACCTCATCTAACCCCACCCCCCTCCCCCGTTCCCCCACCCCCCTCACCTGAGCAGACCACTTGTTATGCGGCAGCAGATCATTCTTCTGAATGCACGTCGGGTCCACGCCCTTGCAGTACACAAAACACCTCATCTAACCCCACTCCCCTCCCCCGTTCCCCCACCCCCCTCACCTGAGCAGACCACTTGTTATGCGGCAGCAGATCATTCTTCTGAATGCACGTCGGGTCCACGCCCTTGCAGTTCACAAAACACCTCATCTAACCCCACCCCCCTCCCCCGTTCCCCCACCCCCCTCACCTAAGCAGACCACTTGTTATGCGGCAGCAGATCATTCTTCTGAATGCACGTCGGGTCCACGCCCTTGCAGTACACAAAACACCTCATCTAACCCCACTCCCCTCCCCCGTTCCCCCACCCCCCTCACCTGAGCAGACCACTTGTTATGCGGCAGCAGATCATTCTTCTGAATGCACGTCGGGTCCACGCCCTTGCAGTTCACAAAACACCTCATCTAACCCCACCCCCCTCCCCCGTTCCCCCACCCCCCTCACCTGAGCAGACCACTTGTTATGCGGCAGCAGATCATTCTTCTGAATGCACGTCGGGTCCACGCCCTTGCAGTACACAAAACACCTCATCTAACCCCACTCCCCTCCCCCGTTCCCCCACCCCCCTCACCTGAGCAGACCACTTGTTATGCGGCAGCAGATCATTCTTCTGAATGCACGTCGGGTCCACGCCCTTGCAGTTCACAAAACACCTCATCTAACCCCACCCCCCTCCCCCGTTCCCCCACCCCCCTCACCTGAGCAGACCACTTGTTATGCGGCAGCAGATCATTCTTCTGAATGCACGTCGGGTCCACGCCCTTGCAGTACACAAAACACCTCATCTAACCCCACTCCCCTCCCCCGTTCCCCCACCCCCCTCACCTGAGCAGACCACTTGTTATGCGGCAGCAGATCATTCTTCTGAATGCACGTCGGGTCCACGCCCTTGCAGTTCACAAAACACCTCATCTAACCCCACCCCCCTCCCCCGTTCCCCCACCCCCCTCACCTGAGCAGACCACTTGTTATGCGGCAGCAGATCATTCTTCTGAATGCACGTCGGGTCCACGCCCTTGCAGTTCACAAAACACCTCATCTAACCCCACCCCCCTCCCCCGTTCCCCCACCCCCCTCACCTGAGCAGACCAC